CCTATAGCTTCAAGTTTTCAACTAATATCAGTAGTTTACAAGTACTTGACTCTTGAAACCATAGTAACTCATTTTGTTATAATTTATTACTTATCATTTTTCACTACCATCATAATTGTTATTTCTGTTTTACCATGAAAATAAACTATTCCTTGTTTTCATTAATGACGAATGAACTCCAGCTGAAGATATTGTAATGCCTGAAGATATTTCACCATGATATTTTTTCAGGTATCGAATTCTCATCATTTTAGCTTCAAATATTGTGTGTTGTCAATGTGGTAATTTCTTTAATTTGCTTATACTTTTTAAGGGATTCGTGGTGACTATCGGTCGTCAATCAGTGGTATTCTAAGTCTTTTTATTTGAAGTAACTGTGGAATTTGAATTTTTTTTACTTGGGTGATATGTGGGGGTATTGTTAGAATTTGGGAGTTATTTAATTGAATCAATTGCCATGGATCATGTTGTCAGTGGAAAGTTCAAGCTTGGAAGGAAATTTAGGAGTGGTTGGTTCGGGGAACTTTATTTACATAACCATTTTATTTAATTCTTAATTTGGTGTGGTTAAGGTGACTTCTGTTCTGTTTCCTTTCTTAAAAAATAATATTTCTTTAATTTACTCTTGCAGGTGTAAATATTTGAAACGAAAAAGAACTTGCGATCAAGCTGATATGTTCATATTTGTTTTTTGATTTGAACTTTTCCCTCGTTGTATAATTTCCAAGCAATGCAATCCTTTGGATTCAATTATGTTTTCCATATTTTATAAGCAAATTTAATCTCTCTCATTGTTAGGGCTGGACATGGTCTGGTTCGATTTGGTTCCGACGAGAACCGAACCGATCCGAAATTTTCGGGTATTTAATAAGTGGTCCAAATTTAATTACAGAACCGTTCGGGTTCGGTTCCATTCGGTTCCGTAATAATTAAATTTTTTAATATATACAAAGTTACGTTAATTTAATTAATAATATATTTAATATTAGCTCTTACAAAATAACGTAGTTCAATTTTATGTGTTTCACGTCTCTCTTTACTGAATTCTTCATAAACTTGATTATTAAAATCACAGAAAGAGAAAGATAGCGAGCTCAAAATAATTAAGAGAGATGTTGTAGAGCTTTAATTCAATTTTCTCCCGTATAAACGACACTACAGTAGAATAACATATTTGAATAAAATTGAGGTCAATTTGATTAAGTCGATTTTGAACTGAATATTAAAAATAGGAAAATCATATTTTGTAGTTTGAACTAAATTATCTAGTTAACAAATTTATTTAGAAAAAATAAAATAATTTTACTTATTTAAAATAAATTAATTAAAAAAATTACGGAGATTTGGTTCTTATTCGGTTTTTCGGATCTTGGCCTAGAACCGAGAACCGAACCATACCCATCGGTTCTTGATTCAATACCCGTTTGGGTATTTAATTTGAGAAGAACCGTCAGGTTCGATTCTGTTCGGTTCGGGTTCGGTTCAATCGGTTCGGTTCGAGAGTTTTGTCCAGCCCTACTCGTTGTTAGTTGTTCTGTGTTTTTCTTTTTCTTCTTCTTTTCCATTGTTTTTTGGCTTGTGTACGTTCACATGAATACAAATGTTTGTTCATCTCAAAAATTTTCTTTGTTTATTTCTGTAAATGCATCATAAGTGTGATGTTAAGATTTTTTTTCAAAATGACCTTGTTGTGTTCAATCTTGTTCAAATTTTATTCTACGGGTTGTATTTTCAGAGAGTGCAATTAATGTTATGTAATTATTACATTTTTACACAATTTGCACGGTTACATATGTCTAAAATAGTTTCTTTTAATTCATTTCTTCTATTCTATAGTTGACCCTTCCTACATGTATATCATACAAATTTTCTAATAGTTTTTGTTTCATTTTCTTAGTTTGTACTGCTGACCTTGGAATTTCAATATTCGATAGTCTCTTTCACTCTTGCGATGGATATTTCAGAAACATTTGCTTATGAAGACCCTGCTTTTGATAACACTGGCAATATATTTCGTAGTCAAAAAGACCCATATAACACCTCCATTCGCCAACAACAAAGTCAAAGAGAAAGAGATCGGCGAAAAAGACTTAAAACTGGGTGTATTGATCAACGTAAAAGGATAAATGAACCTATGATCTTGGGAAATAATTCTTCTACTGTTGCCAAATTGCATGAATCTATGATGCAGCACGATCCTCATGCTTCTACTTCAAATAAAAAATACATAATATTTCTAATTTTGAATTAGAAGGAACTCTTAATGGATTGAATGTAGGGCTGGACATGGTTCGGTTCGATTCTGTTCTGACGAGAACCGAACCGACCTGAAATTTTCGGGTATTTAATAAGTGGAATCGTCGGGTCCAAATTTAATTACAGAACTGTTCAGGTTCGGTTCCATTCGGTTCCATATTATAATTAAATTTTTTAATATATACAAAGTTACGTTAATTTAATTAATAATATATTTAATATTAGCTCTTTCAAAATAACGTAGTTCAATCTTATGTGTTTCACGTCTCTTTTTACTGAATTCTTCATAAACTTGATTATTAAATCACAGAAAGAGAAAGATAGCGAGCTCAAAATAATTAAGAGAGATATTGTAAAGTTTTAATTCGATTTTCTTCCATAGAAACGACATTACAGTAGAATAACAGATTTGAATAAAATTGAGGTCAATTTGATTAAGTCGATTTTGAACTGAATATTAGAAATAAGAAAATCATATTTTTGTGGTTTGAACTAAATTATCTAGTTAACAAATTTATTTAGAAAAAATAAAATAATTTTACTTATTTAAAATAAATTAATTAAAAAATTACGGAGATTCGGTTCTTCGGGTCTTGGCCTTGAACCGAGAACCGAACCATACCCGTCGATTCTTGATTCAAATGCCCGTTCGGGTATTTAATTTGAGAAGAACTATCGCGTTCGGTTCAGTTCGGTTCGAGTTCAGTTCGATCGGTTCGGTTCGGGAGTTTTGTCCAACCCTAATTGAATGTGCCATCTGCTGCTTATGTATTACCAACATCAATCTATTTTAAGCATTATAATGCTCGTAAATTTTATCGAGAAATTAAAGATTTTTGTTGTTCTAATGGAAAAATAAAGCTTTTCATGCCTGACTCACGAAGTGAACTATATAATTTATTTACTTCTAACGAATTGAGCTGCATGGAATTCAAGAAAATTGCAAGGGCATATAATAACCATTTTGCTTTCACTTCATTTGGTGTGAAGTATGATAAAGACCTATTTAAAGCATATAAAGGTATTTACACATTTAGGGTTCAAGGACAAGTACATCATTATGTAAATCAACTTGTACTCCATAATAATACGCCTTCTTATATGCAATTACATTCTTACGATACAGATAATGAAGTTCAAAATCATATGAAAATATCATCTAATTTTGATGAACCTACTTTGATTGTTTTAATCGAAATTTTGAAAACAAATCCATATGGTAAATTTTTTAGGTCTTTGAGTGATATGACTAACTTACATGACCATCAAATACAAATACGATGTGATCCTGGACTTGATGAAAGAGTTTTCAATACTCCTACAGCATCTCAAGTAGCTGCTATATGGGTTGAAGATAATGAAAATAATAATGTTTATGTTCGTTATATTACTATATATGGACATTCTGGTGATTCACATAGAGTTCATTACTATTATGGGTGTTATGATCCATTGCAATATCCCTTACTCTTTTCATATGGGGAATTCGGTTGGCATGAAGGCATTTAAAGATGTAGAAGCACATACTCGCAGCCTCAACACATGCCGAAATCTGATGTTCTCCTTGACACAACTATTTCTGCAGTTGAATTTATTGAAAAAGATAATCAAGTTTTGCAAATGTACCTTTTTATATAGTTATGTATTTTTTGCAATATAAACGTTGTAAATGAGTATTCAAGCTTGTTTTTCTTCTTGTTATATAGTACTGAATGGAGCGAACAAACGTACTCAAGTCTCATGCCGAGAATATTATTTATACAAATTACAAATCAGGCCTTTTGGTAAGTCTTTATTACTTCATGCTGGTAGATTATTGCAACAATATGTTGTAGATATGTATGTTAAGATAGAAATTACTAGATTGGATTATTTCCGCAATAATAAAAAAAAAAATCGTGCTAAACTTTACCAATGTATTGTAGATAGTGTTCAAAAGGGGGAAAAAGAGGGTGGAAAATTGGATGAAAATTTGTTTTACCACAATCTTTCACATGTGATCCTCGTGACATGCTAAGAATATACCTGGATGGAATGACTATTGTACAACATTATGGAAAATCATATATATTTTTAACTATAACATGTAATTCAAATTGGCCAGAAATTAAACATGAACTATGTAAGAATGATGAAGTTCAAAATCGACCGAATTTAATTGTACATATATTTAAAGCAAAATTAGAAAAGTTGAAACATGATTTATACAAGGCAAGTATTTTAGGCCTAGTTGTTGCACATATATATGTTATTGAATTTCAGAAAAGAGGTCTCCCTCATGTTCATATGTTGTTAATTTTTAATACTGGCCATAAAATTTCTTATGTCGAAGAGGTTGATAGAATAGTTTGCTGTGAAATACTTGACAGAAACAAATATCTTCATCTTCATTCTGTTATCGTTAAACATAATATACATGGTCCCTGTGGGAATCTTAATTCGAAAAATGTATGCATGGAGGCAAATAAAGGTTGTAAAAATAAGTACCCTAAGGATTGTTGTGATAGAACTATATTTGGTCAGAGCTCATATACACTGTATAAGCATCGTATGGTATTTCTATTCAAGTTAGAGGCCAAATATTAAACAATTGATGGGTCGTACCATATAACCCTCATTTAAGTGCGAAATTTGATTGCCACATTAATGTTGAAATATGTTTTTCTATTAAAGTTGTGAAATACTTGTACAAATATGTGTATAAAGGGCATGATCGTATTAATTTTTCAGTTCATACGAATGAAATGGAGAAAGAAATAGATGAAATTACTGTTTACCAGTCTGCTAGATGGATATCCCCAGCTGAAGCTATGTGGAGAATTTTTTCATTCAATCTGCCTGAAATTTATCCGATAGTCTATTCTTTACAGCTTCATGTTGAAAATCATCAACAAGTTACATATAACAATGAAGATGATTTGTCTACTATCATTGAGAACGAAAATACGAAACAAACAATGTTAACAAAATTCTTTCAAGTGAATGAAGTGGATGAGTTTGCTCGTACACGTTTGTATCGAGATTTTCCAACACATTTTGTTTACAAATAAGAAAATCTGGACTCGTAGGAAAAAAACATAATGTTATAGGACGAATTGTTACAGTAAATCCATCTGAAAGAGAACGATATTTTCTCCGTGTTCTTATGAACCATATTAGAGGGTCAACATCATTTCATGATTTACGAACTGCAAATAGAGTTATTGTTCTTACCTATCGAGAAGCTGCACTTTTGCATGGTTTAATAAGTGGAGATAATCATTATGAAGAATGTCTATCTGAATCTATTGTTTACCAAATGCCTATTTCTTTAAGACGTCTCTTTGCCACACTTCTTGTGCTTTGCAGCCCTAATAATCCAAAGCTATTATGGGATAAATTCAAATGTTATATGATTGATGATTATGTACATGAAAATATACCTTCAAAAGTTGGTGAAGTACAAGCTCTAGAGGAAATTAGTTGTATCTTAGAATCTTTAGGCAAAAATATAAATGACTATCAAATGGTACCATACAATGTAAATATGAACGAGAATGATAGATTGAGGAGAATGATTGAAGATGAGACAACGAATTTGGATATTAAGGGAGGTAATGCTTGTGCAACAAGGATAAATAACAAATAACAATTTGCATACAATACGATAATGGAAAAAATAACATCAGGATTAAGTGGTGCCTTCGTCATTGATGGTCCAGGAGGAACGAGCAAAAACATTTTGTATAAAGCATTATTAGCTGCTGTGATGTCTCAAAATTCAATTGCTTTGACAACTGCATCTTCTAGAATAGTTGCATCTCTCTTACCTAGAGGTCGAACTGCTCATTCGAGGTTTAAAATTCCTTTAGAAATAGTTGGTGATGTAAGCTGCTCGGTTAGCAAACAATCGGATTTTCAGCAAGTTTTACCGGTGGTATCAAGAGGGAAAAAGGAAGATATAATGAAAGCTAGCTTAGTATTCTCTGAATTATAGCCTTCGCATTTACATCTACCATTAATTGAGAATATGAGGGCAAAGTTTGATCCTATTTTTTTGTGATTACTTGTTAAGAATTAGAAATGGAACAGAGGAGCAACATACTTGTAAGTGTATCGAGCTTCCAAATAATATAATTATACCATTCAAGGATGAAATAACACCTTTAAAATATTTAATACATCATGTCTTTCCAAATATAGAAACTCATGCTGACAATTTACATATGATGGCAAATCGAGCTATTCTTACTCCTAGAAATGAATCTGTTGATTATATTAATAAGATATTATTAGAACAGATTCCTAAAGAAATTTTTACATATTATAGCTTTGATGAAGTAATTGATAAATCAGAACAAAGCTTGTAAGAAGATTTACTCAATAGTTTGACTTCAAATGGTATTCCACCACATGAATTGATCCTTAAAGTAAACTGTCCTATAATGTTATTACGGAATATCAACCATTTTGAAGGATTAATCAATGGAACACGACTCACTTGTCGAAAATTTCAAAAAAATGTAATTCTTGCTGAAATTATGTCTGGTGAATATTTGGGAAAACATGTCTTCTTACCAAGAATCCCTTTTATACCGCTTGAAAATGATAAATCTTCAATTCCATTTAAAAGAACTCAATTTCCAATTTGGCCGTGCTTTGCAATGACAATAAATAAAGCACAAGGACAAATACTTGATTTTGTTGGATTATATCTTCCAGAACTTGTTTTTTGCCATGGCCAGCTTTATGTAGTATTATCAAGGGCTAAAATGAGCAAGTGTCTCAAAGTTCTACTTAGCCCATCAAGCAATGAAAGTTTACAAAGTACATGTACTAAAAATGTTGTATATAAAGAAATTCTTTCGTTTATACATTTATAGAAAATCTTAAATCAAATTGTTTCAGTGCTATCTTCTTCAATGAACGAGTAAAGATAAAAATTTAGCTTCAATCCTTGCCATGAAAAGTGAAAACAGGGGACACATCAGACAATATTTCAAGGCTGGGGTTGCGCTTGTGATTCTAACACAAGACATCAACAAAAAAATTGGTAGTTGGTGAATAAATTCACCTGAACATCTTATTTACATTCTTGAAATATTTGTTTTATTATTATGAATTTACATTCTACAATGATACCAGGCATTTGAAGTACCGTGCTTTCATCATCTTGCAAAGGCATATTTAAAAATGATGACTCAAAAAATTGTTGTTGATGCTCCTGTAGCTGAGCTGTTCCTTTTTACCACTAAAAAAGGTATGTGTGTGTGTATATATATAGAAAGACTTCTCTTAAATGGTATATTATTCGGTGGCCTAGAATATGCCTAGAATTAGTGAAATTTCTTAATTTTAGCTATTCCTATGTAGCTAATTTTGCACTTTATCTATGTATTGTATCAGGTATTATATTTGGGGAAAATTTCAATGGTAGGTTTGGAACGAAGAAGTACTCCATTTTTCTATAATCATGCACTTTCCTTTCATTTATTTCATCGCTCTATCTTAAGAAATGTTATTTCTTCGCTCTCTAGAACATTATATGTATTGTACATTATTTTCAAGAGTGTCATGGCTTTTGTTTTACCTTTGTGTGCTGTGTTGTAGAGTTGAAGTGAAGAAATAACGGAAATGAATTCATCTATAAGTTGGACAAGGTTACATACAAGCTTCATCCATACACATCATGGATTTCCATAGTGAATGTCCTGAAGTTTTCAATTGACTTGTCCAAACTGTGTATTCTCATTTTCTGATATCACCTATGTCCTTTCTGGGTGAGAAGAACTTTTGTTAGAATGCTTTAACAAATTCATGTGTAACAAGACTTAACTGAAAAGTTTTCTCAAAGATCTCCTTCGTTGTTTGCTTCTCTTTTCCCTAGTGTTTATATTGTTGAATTCTTGTCAGCAACTTCGGAATTTTTGATTGACCCTTTTTGCATAAGTTCTATATCAGTTTGATTTTAAGTCATCAACTACATAGCCTTTTCAATTGCACAAGGGACAGTAATTTACATGTAAATGTCTATTTTATTCACTTCTTTCTATTTGTGCATGAATATAACCTTTTTCTTTTACGCGGCAGGTTAACTACATTGTAGATGCAACAAAATATTGTCATTTTTATCTTAAATCCTACCATTTTACACCTGTTGAAACATAAATTTAACCAAATAAACATTTTTAAAGAGGAACATAAGTTGCAAAAAGGGTCCTAATATTGAATTTGTAAGGGGCCCTGTGCCTTAACTAACATGAAAATTCATTAGAAGCTAAATTAATGGAGGTGTCATTAGATTTTGTTTACACTTGTGCAGGTCAAGCATGCCTAGCTGGGAAACCCAAATGGCTAGTTTATTTGATTCCGAACTATCCTTTGCTAAACTTCACTTCATGCTCCAAACTGCCATTTTGGCGAGTAAATTATTACTTTATCTTTCGATTATATTTAATTGATACTTTTTTTTTTTCCTTCAACATTTTTGTTTGTGTTTGGTTAATCGGTATAGGTAGCATATCGGCTTTTTGAGCTAGCTAACACATTGAAGTTAGCTTTCATACCCAGAACTGCCAATAAGAAAATATTTTATTTTGCTGTGGGAGTCGCCATCTGTGGATATTTATATTGCATTTCATTCATTCATTCTTCTGCAAAATGCCTCCTTAATGGTAAGTTATCCGAGCTATTAACTAATCAATTTAACATGATACACAACTTATGGACAATAAGCTTATGGCCAAGATTTATGTTGTTGATAATAGGACAACTTCAGGGGTTTATTTTTTAAACAGACTAATAATGTAGATGATTTGTAAAGTTTCGAGATCAAAGAAATCTCAAAATGGAAGACTTTATTTTGATTGTGGGGGCATTGCACTATGGGGTATTGTATCTCATGATCAAAGTTTAAAGACTATTATAACCATTAATAAATCGCTTCAAGAATGAATTAGTATGAATATCCCATTTTTCTGATTCTTAGGATCATCATCTCCAATAAGAAGAAATTAGATTTATTATCAACCTAATTTTAGCATACTTTGAATTACTTGAAAAGTGACCTACTAACCTAATGCTATTTTGCAGATGAAAATTTTCCTATCCATTTTTTTATTTCTTTGGATTTTTTTCCCTTATCTCGACATTTCAATTGAATTGGATGTCAGGGTCATGTGATTTGATGCTTTTATAATTATAGTTAATTAACCATTTTGTGGTTGCTTTGATCTAGGTTTGTCTAATATGCATTAGTTTATTCGCTTCCATATCTGTCTCCTTGCATGATTCCTCTCCTATATAACATTGTTGCGTGTTTTTGTTGCCCTAATCGCTCTACCTATAGTATATACCATGTGAAAATTGAATTTTGTTTGCTATATGTATAAATTGTGTGGATGCATCTTCTTTCTTTGCAGATAATTCATTCCTTGGGATCCAGATTTGCTTTACTTAAAAGAAAGGAGCATTTTTTTTCTCTTGTATTGGTGATTTTATTCTAATTTCTACCAAAGATTTGCATTTGGCTTCTTTATCGATGTGTTGGGCACCACTTCTACTTAGCTTGTAGAAATTCAATTTGATAACAGTCTTCTGATAACAATTTTCTTTGCTTGGCAACTGTGACTAGGAATCTTCGATGAAATTATGGAATTACAGAATTTTGGTTGATTAGAATTCCGTTCCTTATTGCTTCTAGAAATGATACCACGTAAGTATTGAGGTGGAGTGGGAATTGCATCGAATACGAGCTTAAATTCAATCATCTTAAGTTGGAAGCTTTAACTATATACATGGAATGCATCTAAATTACCTGGCACGCTTTTGGATATTGATCTTGGTATGTGTTAATCAGTCTCCCTTTATTGGGTACAAGTGGATGTTTTGCAATTGTGATGCCTTAACGATATTTTGTTTTATTTACCTTTCAATTGTAGATCTACTGTTGAAAATTTTAGTGGAAAGTGGTTATACACTGTTAGAATATTTTTTGAAGGGGAAATTTTTCTTTGCACTACTTTTCTTTCACTGTGGAGAGAACCAATAGGATTCCAAATTTTTGGTATTATCGTGATTCACTCCATAGTCCATCCCTTCAACAAATATTTGCTTCCACCACAATAGATTGTAATTTTTAAAAATACTACAGACAATTGTCATTCGTACGTTTTACCAGCACTTTGGTCATATGATTAATGGTTCTTATAGAATAAAATGTATTTGAGTAAATGTGCCAATACTTGTATTAATTTTCTGCATAAATGGCCAATCCATCTTATTACAGTTTTCATATTGTTTTGAAGCAGGAATTATTCGCAATTTCATTAATCTCTCTTTTTACAGGCATTTGGTTCGGTAGGGAATGTTCGACCCCTTAGAAGTACGAGGGGACACGAGATAGACTCCATCCATCCATTGGATAGAGGTGCTGAATTCAATCATTGAACCACAATAGATGCTATTTATCACTCTCGCAAAAATAGTGATAATGACGAGGATGATGGCAACAGTTGTACATCTTTGGCTGACCACCTATGTCTCGAGTTAGAGTTGTTTTTGGTCACTCTAGGGTTCTCATAGGTTCAGATGATTTAAATTGAGAGCAAGATTAACAAGTAAAGTCATCTTCTTCAAAAGAAGGTTCCACAGCCATTGTTGGAGTATATTGACACCCTCGATCGATCCTCTTCGGTTTGGTTTGTTCCTTTTACGGTTAGCAAACATTGCTTGAGTATAGGAACGCCCTCGATTAATCATCTTCAATTTGATTTGTTCCTTTTACGGTTATATTTCCTCTTGGAAGACAAACTATTTTAGTGAAATTTAGAGTTTTGCAAACAATCATAGTTTCATTTTATGTTTTGGAATGGAGGTGCATCCTCGTTCAATATGATGTGATTTTTAATTGAGACCTGATGCTATAGGGCAGGAAAAGTTGACACTTTTTCACATTGCTACTGGTAGGGATGGATCAGAGGATATACTGGATACACTAACGAATGATCCTAGGAAGGTAATATAGTTCCTCTTTCCGTCAATTTTAATGTTCACAGGGAACCATAGAAATTTGTTCTTTCACACATGCATTTTCCTAGAAAATCGTTCATTATCTTATTGGGCTTATGCTATGTTTGCTTGGCCTTTACAACATTCTAATTTCGTGGAACTGGTTTTAGGGTAGTGATTTTAGAGACCCACAGTTCAACTGGTCAAATTGGAGCTCAAGTGCAGATCGTGGGAGATGATCTCTTGATCATCAATCCCAAGGCGTATAACTTTCTGAATGCATAATCTCTACTACTCCTGAATTTTGTTTATTGCCCTGTACACTATATACTATTTTCCAACTTCTCATTCAATTGATTGGATAGCCAGGAAAGCAATTAAAAAGAAAACTTGCAATGTTGTTCTTCTCAACATAAATATTTGTTACATCCATTGCGTAACTCTTTTATTAGCATATTGTAAAATATAACTGCAACAACTGTCATTTGACCAAGTTAATAAAAAATAAAATTTTACTATTGTGTTTTTTTATTCATTGTGATTTTCTTAGGTTTTGTTGCGTTTCTGTGTGCACACTTTTTCAATTCTTTTTTTAAGAATTTGAAATATGAAAATTCCTTCTCAATATTTTCTGTCCGATCTTCCACATAAATCATTTGTTTTCGTTAAAATGCTTTATGATAAATGTGTGGAATCGGGGAAATTGGTACAAGTGAAGAATAATTCCATGAAATCATTATTGCATTTGCCATATTTAATAAAGTTGGACCTTTACAAAATGTTAATATTTCTTTTGAACACTCAACACGCTAACGTTACATTAAAAAAAAAAAAAAAAGATCAATCCGTGCATTGCGTGAGCATGCCATTAGTATTCTGAAAAGTGCAAAGAGTGGATGTTTTATTAAATATTTCTATCTTGAAAAGTGATTTATTTATAAATATTTTTTACTATATATATATATATATATATATATATATATATATATATATATATTTGAATTTCGAGATGAATGTTTTATTAAAATATTTCTATCCTGAAAAGTGAGTTATTTTAAAATATTTTTTACTAGAATTTGTTTATATAAAATTTTAAATCCCGGATATTCTTTTTCCGTAGACAAAAAAATAAAAAATAAAAAAATTGATAAGTTGGCCGAGAAATGGACTTAAAAGCAAACGTTACCACTCTCTCAGGCAAATTAATCAATCTTCAATCTTCAATGACGAACATCTAAATCTATGCTAAATCAACACGATCCTCGTACATATGTACCCCACTTCAAATTCGCACAAGCGCGACATGCTAATAGAGATTTGACCAATTTCAATGGTTTAAGATTGAATTTTATTTTTATTTTTTTTGGCATTTGGAAATTCACCTGTATCCTCAAGTTTTAATAGTGCAAATGCTAATGTATTTCTTCCGAATCAACTTGTTACCTGATAAATAATTTAATTATATAAATGATCTTCTAAGTACCGAGACTTTCTTCGGAAATAATTTACTACTCGACAAATAATTTAAGTTCCAGTTTGATCATCATTCTTTAGCTACAAAAATGAAAAATATGATTGTTATCCATCACATTAAACCACCATATTTGACTTTCTATCTCTTGTGTGGGTCCCGTAACGACTATATTTTTTATTCTCATTCTTACAAAAATGGATTTCAAATGGGATTTCAGTATAAAAATAATCTTTTAAATATCGATACTACTTGATATATTAATTAATTATAATGATGAATCATATGTTATGTGATTGATGAACTAAATATCAATGATTTGGAGATTATTTCTATATATAGCCCATGTTTGAGTCACATTCTAGAAAAAAATGCATTATTGATCTTAAATCAACGTGAAATGTGTGGTTAAAAAATAAGAAAAAATTTTAAATTTACGTATTATATTATTTTATTAAAAAATGTGCGATTAAAATTATTTCAAATCACTGTTAAAAAAATATATTTTTTTAAAAATAATGTGGTTCAAATAAGTCCATAAACACATTTTGGTGATCATAAGAAAGTAAAATATTACGAGGGATGGCAGAATCTAATCTAGTCGAAATAGACAAACAACGCATTCCGTGAGAGCAAATTTCACTGCCCTTCCTCTCTGCTATCTCCGAAATTTGATACAGGCCAATTTTCATTTTCCTTCCTCTTCTCGCCTTTTTATTCTTTAATTAAAGCACCTGCACTCCTTCCCTCCATCTCTCTCTCCCTAATTTGTGTTTGTGTGCGCTATTTTCTTGGCGATAGATCCCAAGCTCACAATTTTCTTTCAAGAACTGCCTATTACTGAATTGAAACTTACAAAAACATGGCTGAAAATCCCATTTCAGGTTCATCATTTTTTTTATAGCATCTGCTTCTCGTTGTTAATTTCATCAAAGTACAGTAATTGTTTGTGTAGTTGTTAGATCTTGTGTAGTTATTAGATCTTTGAATCTTGATCAAGATCACAGTTTTCTTGGATGCTCCGTATTGTGTAATTCACATTTGGGTTTACTTTCTTAGCTCTTAATTCGACCATATCGTGATAATTTATGTTTTCTTGGTGTTGGATTATCTTATCATTGTTGATTGAAATATTTTCTTTATGTTTTCTAATTTAATACTATAATTTGTAAAGAATTGGTCTTTTGCATTTTTCCTTTTTGTTCATTACGTTGGAGGCCTTTTTAGTCGAATGAATTTGTTGAATTAAAAATTCTCTGGATTGTTCAAATTGCGTGGTGTTCTTGATTAATCAATTTTCGAGAAAGACTATAAGCCCCCATGTATTTTAAAATTTTGCAGTTCAGGAGATCAAGAATTTTACGTCTGAAATTTAAATCTCTCAGGAAATTTCTAATTCAATCCTATCTTATAGTTTAAAATATCAATCCTTTAAACACACAGCTCTGAGTATAATCAAGATATGTTTGGTACACGGTGTTGGTTTCCACTGGAAGTACAGTTGATGGGTTTCAAATTTCTTTTTTTTATTAATACAATCCAGTCCACGGTAATATGCCATGAGCTGGGAGATTATCAAATTGCATATTGTATTCTTTGACCGAATTCATCTACTCCATTTAGGTGGTTTCCAAAGTCTCTCCCCCAATATAAATGGAGGGTCAGTAGATGAGAGTTCCCTTGTCATTTGCTTTGGGGAAATGTTGATAGATTTTGTTCCGACCGTAGGTGGAGTTTCACTTGCTGAAGCTCCTGCCTTCAAAAAAGCTCCAGGTGGTGCTCCAGCTAATGTTGCTGTTTGTATAGCGAAGTTGGGAGGTTCCTCTGCGTTTATTGGCAAGGTACATTATTCCCTTTGTCTTTAAGAACTTTAATGTCATAACCACCCAGTTTCTCTGATAATATTGCATTCCCAATCTTTTAAGAGAAAAATGAATGGTTGAAGGCATGGTGTTTTCTTACTTAAAAAATCCTTCTTTAAACAACCTAGAGTTACCATAGGATGAAGTGTAGTCTGATTCTTTTTAAAGCATGAAGAATAAGAAACTTATTAAGCACCATTTAAGTGAATAACTGTTAATGATAGAAGAGTCAGTTCATATATTAAACATGTTTGACCTTACTGTACTTTTCTCAAAAGATATCGCATGTAATTATGTCTATCACTCTGCATGACTTTAAGCGCATGTTTGGCCACACAATATTGGACTAGACTCAACAATACATTTTTTCCTCTAACACTGTCCAATTCACTTTACCAAACACACCAATAGTGTAAAAAAGTCTTGTGTAGACATATTTTGACATGTGATTTTGATGATGTAACACTTTTGACCATTTTACCTTGTGGCCTATGATCAATATCAATTTTTCATGAATCCATTTGTTAATTTTTCCTTTTCAACATGGTAGACAAAGTACTGTGCTTTACATTGTCAGTGGCTCCTTATCTTTATTTGAGACCAGTATATGTCCATTACTATATTACACGATTTTAAAGGTTAAGGAAACAAAAGAATTTATCTCTTAGGTAGGAGAGGATGAATTCGGGCATATGCTAGCTGACATATTAAAAGAAAGCAAAGTTAATATCTCTGGTGTGCGGTATGATCCCGATGCAAGGACTGCACTGGCATTTGTTACTCTCAGAGCCGATGGTGAGCGTGAATTCATGTTTTTCCGTAATCCTAGTGCTGACATGCTTCTTCGTGAGTCAGAAATTGATATAGACTTTATTAAGAAGGTGTGATTTCTGTAGCCCTCTATATTTAAGGATCGAGCAGAAGATATGCCGATAATAGTTTAATTAGTTATATATTTTAATGCAGGCATCCATCTTTCACTATGGTTCAATTAGTTTGATCAAAGAACCATGTAGGTCAACACAGCTTTCTGCAATGGCTATTGCCAAGAAGTCTGGTAGCATCCTCTCTTATGACCCAAATCTGAGATTGCCCTTGTGGCCTTCAGAAGAAGCTGCTCGAAAGGAGATAATGAGCATATGGAACCAGGCAGACGTTATAAAGGTTCTTATTTTATCATCAGCTACCCTTTTGTGAAGTTGTGAAGTATTATGGATGGTGTTTAATTTAGTACACTTTCTTCATCATAAGATCTGCTGTTCACATTCATAGATAACCAGGCTCTTATAATCTGATAGATAAGTGAGGAGGAGATTACATTCCTGACTGAAGGTGATGATCCAAATGATGATGATGTGGTGTTGAAGAAGCTTTTTCATCCTAATCTTCGTTTATTGCTAGTAAGTGAAGGAAAGGCTGGCTGCAGATATTACACAAAGGTATAGTTTTACAACTTTACTACTACTGCAAATCTTAACTGTGAGCATGTTTTGGCTAAGCTTTCAAAGTTTGCCTATAAGTATATAAGTAATTTTTTAAGAAGTTAATAACTTTGTTTACTGGTAACAATGTTAATTATTTGACAGGTAAGAGTTACATTTAAACTGACTATTTTTACTTAAAAAAAAAAAAAAAAATACATGTTGGAAACAATAGGTTACTCTTTTAAGCTTAGCTGAGCATGCTCCATATCCATTATAAGAGAGAATTTGCTTATGCTACTAAATTCAAGGTTTCCGCTGGAAGCACCCAGTCGATTTGCTGCATCCGTTTTCTTTCCATTCTATTGAAAAATAAAATAGCAGTTAGGCAAATGACATGCTCATCTTTTCAGCAGTTAAAGTGTGTGCCTGATTTTTCTCCATAGATGAAACTAGTTTTGAGGGCTGTGCTCAGAAAACAGGTAGCCGTGAAAAGGCTATTCATCTTCACATATGTATAGATGTTTCATCAAGTCCAACTAATCAAATCAGATAGTTTTGAATGGAAAATATGTTTTTCGTAAATCAGAAAACTGGTAGCCATGAAAAGGCTATTCATCTTCACATATGTATAGATGTTTCATCAAGTCCAACTAATCAAATCAGATAGTTTTGAATGGAAAATATGTTTTTCGTAAATCAGAAAACTGGTAGCCATGAAAAGGCTATTCATCTTCACATATGTATAGATGTTTCATCAAGTCCAACTAATCAAATCAGATAGTTTTGAATGGAAAATATGTTTTTCGTAAATCAGAAAACTGGTAGCCATGAAAAGGCTATTCATCTTCACATATGTATAGATGTTTCATCAAGTCCAACTAATCAAATCAGATAGTTTTGAATGGAAAATATGCTTTTCGTAAATAATTAAGTACACTTCAAGATAAACCGACTTCCCTTGCAGCAATTTAAGGGAAGAGTTCATGGTGTTCAAGTCAAACCGATCGACACAACTGGTGCTGGTGATGCATTTGTTGGTGGATTTCTATATTGTTTAGCTTCTGATATGAATCTTTATCAGGTACTATCTTATCAAATAAGTTATCTGGCATAACTTCAATGATATTGTTGGGTTGCATCTTCTTTCCAATGAATTTATTAGGTTTAATCATCTGCCAGAAAGATTAGATGTTCTTTATATTTTCTAATATCCAAAAGAAATTTAATTCTGATTCCCACGAGGATCCTAGTTCTAAACCTAAGCAGCTGGCCTGTGAACACCTCGTCTAAAAGCTGTTAAGCTTCTAGAATGGAGAAATATTTATTCACATCTTATCTTCAAAAGTTCCTCATGTGCAAGCCAGATTCAATTCTTTATTCGGAGGCCTAACCCTGTCTAATTTTCATTTGAGGTGGGATCTTTGCTTGCTAAACCTCCTCATTTAAAAGTTTAAACTATTAGGGAGGAAAAGAATTTGGAATGTGGATCTAAATAAACACATTGGCATTTGTTGGAATATAAAACATTGCATCTTATTTCTAGAGATATATAACATTTGATGCAACTCTTGCAGGACGAGAATCGGTTAAGAGAGGCTCTCTTTTTCGCCAATGCTTGTGGTGCCCTCACTGTGACAGCAAATGGAGCTATTCCTGCCCTGCCTACAAAACAGGCAGTCCAGCAAATAATAGCAAAAGCCGCTGCATAAGAAATAAAAAACGCACCCCCCCCCCCCCCCCCCCCTTCACTTTTCTTTCGATAAGTGATCACAGAACTTGACTGCTTGTATCTATGTTTTGTGGGTAGATAGGGGAAAGATCTCTGATGAATCACGAGGAAACAGAAAATTATGCTAGAATAAAATTTTTGTAACATCCTGGGATCTTAGAATTGTCTAGATGTACCAGATGATGTTCTTCTTTGCATTATAAATCAGTTTCAGGATTAATGCAGTCAGGAAGTGATACAAGTAAATAAAGTGTGAACATGTGATTGAATGTGGAGATTGCGCCATTGGAAGGTTAACAAGCATCTGAAGTCCATCCTTCTGCATTTTTTCCATTTTTCATTCTTGAAGGAGACTGCATGTCATGGTCAATATACGTAGGAATAAAATTGAGTTCCCCTCGTCTTCGATGAAAAATTGAATTTGATATATAAGTAAAGGAACGAGTTAAAAAATAAATCTAAATAGATAAATTTGTTTATTCTCTAATTGTTTAAAATTATTAAATGAGATGGAATGCTAGAAGTAACGAGAAATGAGTTAGTGAAAAATTTTCGATCCTTCCAAGTGTATCAAGCACGAATCGAACTTCCTTATCTTTTTGAGTAGGCTCTTCACCTATTCAATAATGGATGCAAAGTTTGGGACTATTCATTCAATTGTAGGGGCCCCACGGACCGCCACGCATGGGGCTGAGTTTTGAAAATAGAATAATGCTCCTAGGGGCAACTAACGGGGGAAAGGAGACAGGGTGAGGTGGCAGAGTGGGATCGAATGATTTTTATTTATTTATATATTTTTTTTTAACTATTCGATTATATATTTTGACACGTATCATCTCTGTTATCGAGTCTATTACTTTCTATTACTTTAACAAGGTTGTTTTGAAATAGAATATTATATTAACATATTTGAGAGTAATTTTAAGAATTGATTTTTTGACCGTTAGAAGAAAAGTGGGGTTCATCTATGAGTAAAGAAGTGAAATATAAGGGTTGAAATAGTAAAATAACGGTCAAAAAATCAATTTTTTTAGAAAAAAATCACTTTCAAACAGACTCTATAATTGTTTTCTCATTGGACCTCACTGCATGTATATTAACGGGAGTGTCCCCATTTCAGAATTTAATAGATTTATTAATATTTATAAATTCTCATGGATTGTGTGAAATTTGATAGAATTTAATAGATTTCATAAGATTTGAATGGATTTCTATTTTGTAGATTTTAAAATATTTTCATGGATTTTAAAGATTCTGCGTAAAATTTATAAATATGCTTAACATAAGCCACAAATTTTTACTTCTTCTTTAACAACTCATTCTTACACATATGCACGTTAATAAATCACAGAAAATGATCAAATCCTTGTTCAATTGTTTGTTAAACATTGAATATTATAACATAGTTTCAATAAAAAATACACCAAATATTCAACAAAATGTGAGAGTGGGAGAGGACAAAAATATGTAGTGTTAAATAATCAAAGTCGTAATCAATATGAATTAGTTCAAAAGACCCCAACCTTGTGAGATACAAACACACAGATGTACACATACATGACCACAAGGCAATTAATTTCATACCCCCAGAATTCTCATTGACCATGTAGACACAAAAGAAAAACTTGTAGGATACCATCCTCACATGTCTTGGCTAGGATTTGCAGGTATATATAGAAAACACACAACTCTTCCCAAGAAAAAGGGATAGGGTACAGAACTTGAAAGACGAAGTTGTTCCAGTATGCATACTGAAAATCGTAAATTACCATGATAATTTTCAGCACATCTATAAAATAATAAACAATATATAGCTTCAATAAGAAAAAATAAGTTCAATAAAAAATCACACCCAATATTCAACAAAAAATAGTAATCTTTCATAAATTATCATCAACTGAAAAGTTATAATACACGATCTTTTCACAGTAGAGAAATATGAGATAGAAAGAAGAAGAAAATCTTGTTGAAGATGTGGGGGGGGGAGAGGGGGGAGAGAGAGGGGAGCAAATATGGAGAGAGGTGAGAAATGTTGTGAAATTTTTAAGTTTGGATTAAAATTGTTATTGATTCTTTGTACTTATATTTTTACCTTGAAATCTTTCAAAATCTATCTACTTAATGAAATCTTTTAAAATCAACTAGTTATTGAGGATATCTAAATTTCAAAACTACCTATTAAAATCTATGTTGAGGACATCTAAATTTATAAATATTTTTAAAAATCTAGATTGGGGACACCTATATTTTAATGAATTATATTTAAATCTGAATTGAAGATACTTCAATTTATATGGAGTCTTAAAATTCATCAAACTCTAAATTGAGGACACCCCCCTAAAATTGGAGATTACATAATGTCTATATAACACACTGTCATTTACCAATTTAGAGTACAGTCGATTTTTTCATTCAATCTTTTTCTAACACATCATTTTTTATATAACATTTTTATTAACAAATAGCAAAATCCTTCTTCATCTAAACCAGTGCACACGCTTTTTGTTCTGTAAAAGGCTTTCACGAAGCGCGCTTTCTGTATCACAGTGTGATTACTTTCCAGCATCAGTCGCGCAAATCAGCCAAGAGAAGAAAAACAGTCACCGTCCGGCGAAATAATCGGAGATATTCACCGGTACGGCTGATGAACCCGTGTTTAATGAAAGCCTAAAACTTCTCAGACTTCTCTTTAGTTGAAGCGTCAAATCGATGAATTAACCGACCGAAGAATTTGATTTCTTGATTACTAAGTGAGATCCATTCATATGGCTGCGAATTCGAATTCGAATTCGAGCTCCAATCCAAGTCTGAGTCCAAATGCAGACAATGCAAGGACAATGTTTCTTCCGGAGATCGGACCTGATGGGATCCCCCGAGAATCTCCTGTTATTGCTTACACGGAAAAGGTTTCTCATAATGTGTACATGGACACCACACCTTCAATGATTAATTAGTTTTTTAATACTTCTTGTTGCATTCGTTTGCAGGTAATAGAAGCAGAGCAGCTTCAACTGAGAAAGTGAGTTGCACCCCCCCCCCCCCCCCCCCCCTCAATCTTAACTTGTTTCTGCTTTTGAATAAACAAAAATGGTTACTTTTATCTTTTACTTTTACCAGTTAAATTTTGGTACAGTGTTTTCCTATTATCTTTTCTTATTAATTCAAAGTTCGTTGCCTTTATCTCAACTGTGAAGACGAAATGTATTTGATGCGTGCTCTTAACTTCGAAAACTCATATTCTGATATGCAGGATATGTTTGATTGGTTTGATTTTCTGTTCATTTTCAGAGTTCAGTTACTTCCCATGTAACTTTTTGAGTTCATTTGAAGTTAGGAGTCGAAAAACCTAATAGCCATAACTTGTTCTTTTTGGGCGCGGGTGGGGGGTGGGAAAGAAATTGTTTAGTATCTTTCGGGTTTAAAAAAAAAGGGTAGTGGGAGAGAGAATACATGAGACGAGGAGTGAAAAGATGGAAAGGGGAGGCGTGTTTGTGTTTGAGAGATGGAGACACCAAAGAGAAAAACAGGGTGCCCCTTTCACCTAACATATGAGCATATATGGATTATAGTGCGATTTTATTCTAATGGCACATTTAATTTGTTTTCTCATTGCATATTAAGTAAGGAAGTTTTTTTTTTCCTGATAATAACAATTACGGAGAGGAATTTAGGATGAACTTAATGAAGATTACTATCTTTGAAATTGCTCGCTCATGGTGAGAAATAATTACATACACAGTTTTGGGATGGAGGACTGCCTTCCACTACATTTGGAATTTTCTTTAAATGCAGGTAGAAATTTTAAGTTTTTTGAATATATAGAAACCACATGTATATTTGCCCCTTCAACACACTCCCTCCCCCCACCTCACACACAATGTTTAAAATATTTTGGCTCTGCTACTGCTCAAAATGAGCTTGCAAGGAGCAGATACAATATTAAAAATTGCCATTTCAAGAACAGCCATCAATCAGGAATCAGTATGCTAGTTGAGTGCTGCTAGACTATATAATTTTCATTTGTGGAGGTTCTAAATATTTCTTAAATCAGTAATTTAATGTATAAGAAGGGAAAAACTTGTATACTTGAAAGATACAAGACATTGACTTCCAGTTCCATAATTGAGTTTAAAATCCAATCTGTAATCTAAACAATTCAGATGCATGAAACATCCTAATATTATTAATGGTTTTATAGACGAAGAAAGTCGCTGTCTTTTCATCTCATGTAACCTTCATGGAAAGTGGAAGCCATCACTTTTATTTCCATTAGGAGATATGGCAGCGGTTTCCTTCTCTAGCTTCGTTCTGTACCATGATATTATCTGCACTCACCCAATCCTCATACATTAAAGAAAGGGCGCAGTTGGATAACCTTCTTCAACTCCCAGTAGTGAATAGGTCTCGGAAATTGCTCATTATGTTAGATCTACCCACACGGGTAGTCCATGATAGCATTAAGCCCCTGTCTGGTTTATATAAAACTCTGATTTTTCGTAGATTTTGATAAAACTTGATAGAATGTGTGGTTGAAAAGTCGTGAGTCCCATGAAATATGTGATTTAAATTAATTGTTAACTAATCAAATTTTTAGCTACATCAGACATGATATTTTTTTGGGCAGTTCTAATAATATCAAGTCATATTCCTATTTTTACATTTTTATTTCCTGGATTTTAGCCCCGATTAGGAGTCTAAGTATGGCAGATTTATCTGAAGGGATGCTATAGAACTGGGAAAACTATTTTCTCAAGACAATTCTCCACACACACTATTAATCTAGCTTGGTGAAACCAACAGGTTTGGAAATCTGGGTTTATGCCCTTGCACTAAGATTAAATCCCCTATGTTTTTATACTTTCTTTTTCCGTAATTTTAGCCAGATGCTACTTCGTCCCAATCCTCCCCATTATCTAAAGCCAGAAAATTGAATATCAAGAGCTATTTTACTTGAAAAGGAGGTGGAAGAACGTGAAAAATATGATACTTCTGGGTCCTCAGGGATAAGGGATGGCTCTGATTCTGTAATATCAAAAGATCTGTCATGGTTGCAATCAGATTTCTGTTCTAGGTTCCTTTTGGTTGCCTTTTACATATTACGAAGTATTATGACTGTTGACTGCTTCAGAATTTTTGCTATATGATCGTTGGATCTTTTGAAATTGTTACTTAGTCGTCTTTAGATGTTAATTTCTCTTTTTTGGTGATATTCACGAAATTTCTGGTACATCTGCTTAGATACATCGAACAAAATTATTCCAAAATTCGTGATGTTGAACGAGAATTAGGAAATCTTACAATGGAGATGAAGCTTACTTCTGGACCTAAGAAAGCTGGTATGTGATTTTGTATTCCTGCTTCCTCTAACAATATTCATCTTCATTGAGTTTAACTGAGAGATCATTTCCTCTTGCATTCAATGTCAGCTCTTGAACACATGCGAAAGACAATAGAATTGTCAACTCAGAGAATTCGTGCTGCTAAGCTAAATGAAGAGCAAGCACGAAAGGTTTGTCTGTTTTAGATAAATAGCTAATCTTGTATCATTCTCAAATATATACAGCACTTGAGTATGATCATGATTCATGGAAGATATTTTTCCAGAGTCATAGCATTCTCCTTTTCATTTCAGAAATTAGCTGAACATCATTTCAAGATACTTCCATGCATGAATAAAAATATTATATAGTCGTTAGTGAATATATAGATGGCGGGCTGAACTTGGGTTGTTGGAAGGGTGTTTGTACAGTCCACCTGCATAAGTATATTGCATAAAGTATGCAGAGTATAAAAGCATGCTATTTCAATGAACCCTGTGTTAAGGATCCTTGTCTGATGTTTATTCAGTTTTACGTTACTTCTTTACCAAAATACAAGGAGAAACAAAAAGCTAGAACGAGAAATCGGGATATTATAAGAACGGCGCTTTGCCTCACTTGCCAATGAACTGTTTTACTCTCTTCGTTATAGGTGTTAGCTTGTCACTTACCACTTACCACTTGCAAATTGACTATTTCAGTTCTTCATAATATAATTTTTATTCAATTTAGTCGCCTAAACAATTATAAAATGTGAATTTCAAAAATTTGAGCTGACAGATGTTCACTTTTGTTCTTTTTCCTTTTTTATAAATAATCAATATAAAAAGTTCAATGCATGTAGTTGTCTCACATCTCTCGCTCTCAATTAAGCTAAATAAATCTGCAACAAGTTTATCTGATTATTGTATATGAAACTTGTGGAGATTTTATGTTTGCATTTTTACCATGTACATCTTTGTTACCTAATTGTATATCATGAAGTGTCTAAGTTACATTAATTTTTCATATCTGTTATTCAAGTATAAACATGTGTTTATATGAAATAAATTGTTCAGTTTATTGTCGATCAGAGATATGAAGTTGTTAATTGGATGGTAAAGTCATGTACTATAGTACTAGATATAAAAAGAGAAGTTCATAAGATGTTCTTGTATTTTTTCTTTTAATTGTATCTTCGGTGGTGTGCTTCACCATGTACTCTTAGAATTACGGTGACAATGTAGTTTAATGGTACTAAAGAAAATGTATCCTTTAATTCCTTAAATATAAAGATATTAGAAAAGTTTTTAACGACAACTAATATGCTCTATTCATCAAGGACTAGAAACTTCGGCACTCATATTTCATTCGGGGAGTTTCTTAAAGGCATTTCTCAATGTGATTTGGTACATTTATTAACTTAAATCAAGAATGTTGGATAATCAGAAAGAACTTTTCAGTTTTCTGTTACTTTGATTTCAGGATGGGAATTAAGCTTCTCAATGTGCACGTCATCTCTTCCTATTCATGAGAGAGGTTCTTAGCGCCCCGGTTTCTCAATCTAGTCAATTATCATTTATTGTATTTACCTTTGTTTCCCTGATGAATATTGTGCTGGAAACTAGGCCTGGGAAGCAACATCAAAAGTTGTAAAGGATGAAGAAGCAATTAAACAGAAGCTTTGCAATGACTTGAATAATCTGGTAGATTCTCGTTCTACTAAATCCTCAAGTATTTGAGCTTAGCTTATATTTACTAGAAGCAATTTTCCTTTACAGGTTCAGGAAAGTAGCAACGCTCAGTACGCTAGACTGGAAGAATTGAAACGGCGTCTGGAGGCTTTAAACCCAAGCAGATCATCCACTCATGTACCCACTGTAAGATTTAATTTCTTTATGTTTTCATCTAGGAGACTCTTTTGGGATTTCTGTAGATATAAATCATATTTCCATTTCCAGTTTGATGTCCTTTCGTGGGCTTATATCTTAGCAATCTGGATGTTTATGAAAAAAAAGCTAATGAGGTAGATCCTAACTGGTCACGTGCTGTCTCCGTTTGGACGTGTTGTTCTGCACAACGTTTGGGGAAATACTAAACAAAATGTGTGCATATTAAACAAGCTTTTCTTTGTCGACTGTTTGCCTGTCTGGTGCATGGCATGTGAAATTACACACCACCACACACCATATAGTCTTTTAAATCTAAGACTATCTCTGAAATTTAAAACCTTTTATGCAATTCAGGCGTAGATGCAAACATAGTTATTTGTCTCAAGTGCGATACAATCGCTAGAACATAGGCTTCCTCTTCTTCAGTTGACTGCTGTATTTCAGAATGATATTTGAGCAGGAATTAATATCATTTGATGTTGACATAGTGACCCATGGGATGGAAAAGAGAGAAAAATAAATAAAATGAAGTGATGCAGTTTATGCTTGGAAGTCATTCCAATTCTTCATAAGAAATTGGTGCAAGGTTTGGCCTAAATTGGACTAATGGGGAGAAAACCAATCATTACTGTGGTATGATGATTATAGTATATCACATTTAACCCATAATTGAACTTTCTCAGATAAAGTTGGAGAGACTGCTGTATTTCCGCCCTTTTACTCCATAACCATAATTTCAAATATGATTATATGTTTTGATCAGTCAATTTCTTGAGCCTTCATTTCCTTTAATGGATTCCTGTAAGGACTCGGATCCAGAATTCACTGATCACTTGTAGATGTGAAGATTCTAGATCTATTAAGTATCCCACTTTTTAGCATAAAGGAGATAATGTGTGTGTGATGTGTGAGAACAAAGGAGAATAAAAATTCTGAACTGAAGGAAAAAACTCATCTAATTTCAATATCTTAAATTACGAGTGGTCAAAGTTTTTATTAATTAAAGATTGCTCAAGTGATTTATTCAGTACTTCCTTTTCTGCTAAGTTTGATTTTACTGAGTCGCCTTTGCATGCATTTAGTTTTTCCACATCCCTCATTTCTTCATCACGGTGGATACATTTCAAATCATTTTCTTTCTTCTGATGACAAATGAAGAAGAAGACAATTTCCTATTATTTCAAAGAGAAAAATGTGCACTGGGGCATGGAAGTATACATATAGATGTAATATTTTCTCTTAATTCTTGTAATCTTGTTGAGGTGTTAAACATTTTTCCCCCAGCCTCCTTCATGTCACTCCACTTTGTGTTATAATGTTTTAGGCACTAGCATTTGTCAGGAAACAGTAGTGTTCAATTGCCCCTCGCCACCACCAATTGGGTGCTTCATTTTACAAGTTTTTGTAGCATGTAGCTATTTAATATGTTGCTGGCATATTGTGGCAGAATAACCCCATTTATGTAGTAGCAAATAATTAGATAGCGAAACGTAGCGAACACTTTCATGACCATCATGTCCCCTAAGAAATTCTGTGACTCTAGCTTGAATCCTGTGTTTAGGATGGAAATCCAGGGGGATTGGCACAGCATAGTGTAACTCAGGATGCTTCAACAGTAAGTACACCAGAACCAGCAACTGGATCAGCTGGTAATACATCAAGTCGAGGGAATGTTCCCCAAACAAATGATCAGAACCAACAGCCTTCTATTGATGGTGACGGAAGAGGGAAGAAGAAAATTATGAACCCCGGGAGAGGAAGGGGAATGGGAGCAATACCCAAGGGCAGGGGTTCAGCACCACCTGGTTGGACTGGGGCTGGCTTTGATGTCGACGGTAGAAGTTGAGAGCGGTAATCTCAGAATCTCTTCTTCATGGTGAAATTCTGTCTCTTCAATCATTATTGTTCCTTCTTCCAGTTTTTACTGATTCTATTTGGCTAGTCATTGTTAAAGTTTAGCAACAATTTTTTATTTTTATATTTTTATTTTATTTTTGGGGACTAAAAATGTTTCCGCGCACGTGTATATTTACTTCCCAGTTTCTTTATGTTTTCCTTTCCCCAGAATCAAATTCTGTTGCTATTGGATGCTCGTGGGCATTAAGCATGTTAACCAAATCAATATGATCTTCTCTCACATCATAGAGTAGGATGATTAAAATCTTTGAATTTCCATATTGATTTACCCTCTCATATTTTAATATATCAAGTAAAAGTTAATTTTCAACTCACGAATTTGACTGTACGTTAACCTTTGTAATGGGGTTGTATTCTAAAAAATTTGTCTAGCGGTAAAAAATGTGGTCAAATCTATGTTAATCACCCTGCCGAAGGCATGCCTATGTAAAAAAGGAAGGTGTATTTTTGAGTTAATTTAATCAGTGGTCACTACGTTTACTATAGATTATTATTTGCTCATTGAAATTAAAAAAAAAAAAAAATTTATTTATTGGTCATTGAACTTTACTATAGGTTACTATTTGATCATCGAAATTTAAAATGTTATTCGTTGTTTAGCTAAGTGAGCCATCCATCATCTATGTCATTTTTGTCAATTCACGTGAACAAAAATTAACGTGATTTTTCGATAGTGGTTGAATTTGGTGGTGGTTGTGTGATTTTTCGGCATGTTTTGTTGCATTTTTTGAGGTGGTAGTGGCAGGTTTGTGGATTCTTTGGTGGTGGTGGTGGTTAGGTGTGATGTAAATGGAGATAAAGGAAATGATGGTGGTGTGTTGTAGGTGGTACGTTGTGTGGTGGTGGTGTTATGGCACCGCGGTGCTCATGATGGTGGTTGCAGGAGGCGGTGATGCTCATGTTGGTGAGGTGATGGTGGTTTGGGAGGCGATGGTGCTCAACTATTGTTGTGTTGTTGTTGATGATGGTGGTGATGGTTGTTGCGGTGACGATGACGATAACAGGTGGGGTGTCTGTGACCAACAATTAAGCATCTGTGATCAATTATTTAGGCATCCGTGACAATTATTTGGCCGATTTGTGACTAAATATTAGGTGTATGTGATTAAAAAATAATTTATGACCAATAAAGTGTGGCTTATGTGACCCATAGATAAAATGTGACCTATAATTTGAATGATCTATGACCTCGAAATAATATATAACTTACAATTGTGACCATGAAATAAACTTTGACCAATTAATTTGACGATATGTGATTAGCAAATAAATCTGTGACATATAATTACGAATTTGTAATAATTAATCATGTAACTGTGATTTTATTATCTTTATTTAATTAATATTTTTAATCAATTAAATACATTCCTGATTTTTCAATTTTCAAACTATTTACTTGATTTTTGAATTTGGGTAAATATAATACCTAAAATGTGATTTTTCCTATAACATTATATTAAACCAAAAATTTCAACGTTAAAAGAACTTCATGGGTTAATTGAAAAATGTGAGAACCGGTCCAAAATCTAGTAAGATTATTATATAAGAGAAAAACAACAATTTAGTACTCACTAAAAAAAATATAAAACTCAACATGTTTGCTCATATTGCCTTTTGATTTACTCGAAAATCAGTAAATTTGATACTTTCACCATTGAATATTTATTTTTTCTTGAATTAATGGTCAGATGATTTTTGAAATATTGAAAATTTCGTCATGAGAGTTATAAGCTCCTCTTCACCTTGTGAATTCAATATTACTTTAGTTCTTTTATTTGTTATGGCTCATTTGATCTTTCAATTGAGACCTCTAAAAGTTACATATTTTGCTTACCTTCTTAAATAAAGAATCAAAAAGCAAGAACGAAGCTAACTTTTTTATTTGTTTTCTAGAACTAAGCTAAGCTAAACATGATCATATAAAAATAATTAAGGTACGCCTGTTCTCTAATTTTTTGAATTGAAAAAAAATAAAAATAAAAATAAAAAGGAAGAAGAAGAAGAAGAAGTGGTGTTGAACGTTTAAAAGGGTATTTTGCATATGGACAATTATAAGGATATTATTCCTAGTTTAGGAAAAGGTGAGCCTCGGAAAGATAGAAGCTTTGGACCACTTTGCATCTTCATGTTTTTCCTTCACTCTTCTCCATGGGGAAGGTGGGACGAGCGGGCTATAAACGAGCTTAGCTAGCTCAGCTCGCGTTCGAGGTTAACTCCGGGCACAAGTGGAACAACAAAAAACGATTTGCATGAGTTGACTCGTGATCGCCGAGCGATCACGTTGGTTTGTGGCTAGACAAGCCGCTAACTTCCCTAGCTTTGCAATCTACATGGTTGCTTACATTTGATGGCACCCTAGTCCCTACATCAACGCACAATTTAAATTTTAAAAATTCGGAATTTTTTGATTTCAAAGTCTATGAATAAGGATCGATAGTAAACCAATTTCATGAAAAATAAGAAACTTGAGAATGGGAAGTATAATGTAATTACTATGGAAAGGACTTCACCTTAAACCAAGAAAATTGGCACTATCCAATACAACAGGTATTACAAAAAATGTCTTGTTCATATTGGATTGTCGAGAGTAGACATGCTTAACTTCAATTTGATTTAGGCAAATAGGTACCTTTCGGAGTAGTTCTTGTAAACTGAGTTTATGACCCATAAACAATGCGAGAAGGCATGGTAATTTTCCTTAGTTGTTTTCAAGTTGTCGCTATCCACAGTAAAAAGCATAAAATTGAATAAATTCATACGACGTCTCAACCAAGGTACAAACCTACCAGTAGAAGTATGCTTCATAACTATGCTGCAAATTTATACAGAATTAGTAGTGGCATTCTGTTGTCTATATTCAAAAATTATAGAAGAAAGTACAGAAAGAGAAAAAAGGAGGGGGCTTGGTCTACAATTGGAATTCAAGTTAAAACCCGTACATAAATGAGATCAAAATTCACTGGCCGGCAGGGAATTCTGCTCATTCCAATAAAGACCAGTTTATTTATTTATTTGTTTATTATTATTTTTTATTTTTTATTTATTTATTTATTTTGGGTGATATCTAACCGACAAAGCCTCTTTGATTTCTGATTTTGATCCTATAACGTAAAAATCTCTGATGCAGGCTGGAGAGAAAGCCTGTGTTCACATTTAAGGCTAATAATGAAGCTTTTCGGGTTAAAAATTGATTGTTTTCATGGTGAATATTGTTACTGCATATATAATTACTTCATTGTCTCCTACCAGGTTTTGATCAGGAGGAGGAATTAATTCACTTGGCAGTCGGCAGCATTATTTCCAGTATTATTTGGATTTTCTCCCATCACTCTTAACCTAAAAATAAAGAGAACCCTAAAACCAGTTCACAAACACAAATCATTTGAAAGCACCAATTTTTGGCCCAAATTACATTTTGCCATTGCAATTAGAATCTGAAACTCGAACATATATTACTATGAATATAAAATACATTTACTCACTCTGCAGCAAATTTATTCATCATGATATGTTATTTGTACATTCAAAGTGTACACTATTGTTGACATTGTGTGTATCATTGATTGTTTCAAGTGTTTTTGAAATTAATGACAAAAATGTTTGCCTCCTCACACACTATCAAAAAAACTCTCAAAGTGATTAATTGTAGCAAAACTGTTATTCATCATATGCCGAGTAATTCTCTAAAAGTAAAAATAATATTGATTTCAACATATTTCCTGGAAATGATCAACTGAAGTCTGAATTTATTGAAAACTTGATAAATTAAGATTGCCAACAGCCATTCTGGATTTTTAGGTAGACCAATAAATAGATAGTCACCACTTCAAAGCTCACTGTATTTTGGCTGCAAATAGCAATTTCTTTCTGTTTTCCCGGTGTCTGATTTAGCTTTAATCCACACTGCAGGCATCATAAATAGAATAATTTCTATTAAAAATGAACAAAACACATGAAATTTAATGTAAAAGAAAGCAGATGCTTTTTGCAAGAAGTTTTAAATTGGATACTCAACTTTGGATTAACTACAAATGAACAGAAGACCAATATCAAGACATCACAAAGTTATAACGTAATGGGACTTTTTAGCTCGAAAAAAATTGCGTACACACCAATTGGGTCCTGACGTAACAGTAGGTACCAGAGGAGTAGAGGCTCCCCCCTCACCTTCTTTCCTTTCTGGTGGAAATGCAACAGAAAAAGGCAGAGCTTCAATCGAAATAGTGATTCTTTGGCCAGGTTTGCTATTCATGTCAGTGGGGAGTGAGCTCGGGTGAAAGCTTTGCACCTTGGGTGCTTGGTATGAACCCCTATCAGTCTATTGAAAAAGAAAGTAAAATGATTTCATATGGGGGAGATAACGCTCCAAACCTATAAAATACAGAATATAATTCTCAGATTATAGAACTTTTAGCTACTTGATATTTTGAGAATTTTAATAGCAAGCATCACCAGACAAATAATAAACAAATTTTTAACTTTATTTTCTTCCATAACATTCAATACTAGTGCACATGAGACATTTTCAAACAAGCCAACAAAGTTTTCATAGGCAGGAAATATATACCATAAACCCTAATAAACTGTTATTGCAATGACCAGAAATCATTTTAGAAAATTTTGAAACCAACGTAAAAAACAGTGTTTTAAAATCAAAATCCAAGTTAAGAATAAAGTTTAAAGCTGCCAAAGGTCCAACTGTATAATTTTCTCAGTATTTGCATGAACTGCGAGATTAAATTTGGAATTGAAAGACTTACCTTTTCACGCAATCTTTTTTTCTTCAGAAAGAAACTTCTCCTGAATGTTTAAGAAAAAAAAAAATGTTACATTATACATGTATATACACACAATAGAGCATCTCCAAGATACTCTATTTATAAAGAACATCTTTAAATTTAGAAAATAATTTTTTTTTTGCATTTCAGTATTGATCTCTATTTTTGCTTTTCTTTTTTCAAAAAATATTTATTCTCCTCATCTTTTATTTAACACTAGTCACTTGCCCATGCAATGCATAGGGTGGGATTTTTGAAGGTAAGGTTAGTGTGTTAAATGTGTCGGATTGTCGTGAATTGCATTTTCGGCTCAATATTTACTCAAACTGATTGTGAAACATCCAAATCTGAATAAATGAATTTGAAATAAGAAAGCA